TTACTCTCCCTCTCTCTCTCCCTCTCCCTGGTCCATCCTTCTTTCACCTATAGCAAGGCACAGTTCCCTGGGGGCCTACAGGTATGGAGGGCTTACTACCCCATGACTGCCCTCCCCCATCCTCCCCCGTAGAGAGCTACTTGTCTGGCCCCTCATTCCTGACACACAAGGTCCAGGGCCTTTCAAGGACACTATCACCAGATGAATAGACTAGAGCTCCAGACTGGGGAGCAGCCTCAGCCACTGCTGGGGGCAACACCAGGATCCACCAACACCATTTCCCACACGTGCCGGTGGCTTCGCTGCTGCTACTCAGAAACAAGGTGCATTACGCAGAAAGTTTGAGGAACTTGAAAATCAACTTTTAAGGGTTTCTTGGTCACAGGTCTTTTCTAAACCTTTTTTTTTTTTTTTCTGGGAATGGGCAAGGAGGCTCCACCCAAGCAGGATTCCCAAATGCTTTTGTATTTTATAGACCACATCAGAGGACACAGTGTCCAACACCCCTACCAGTCACAGGTGCCACTAGACACTGACCACACCTTTGGCCACCGTGACAGGAAGGCACAGGAAGATGATGCCGTAAGAAAGCTGAGAAAGAAGTGGAAGGAAGCGAAGGAGGAGAGAAGGAAAACAGGATTGAGGGCTGCTGGGAGGTGGGGAGAAAGACAGTTGCTCTCCGGTATGGGAAGCTGGGTCCCACCTGCTGGTAAGATGGGTATGGTGTCTGCTGTGAGCCAGCTCGACAGACAGCAGCTGCAGGGACAAGGGTCCTCTGAAGGTGAGAGCAAGCCCAGCCCGGTCAGAAGCCCAGAGACAGGTGGTGACAGCAGGGCACGAGAGAGCAGCCAGTCCCTGAGCCATACTTATGGCCTGATATTTTCTGTGACTCTGCACTTGCTGAAAACCATGTGCTGGGCATACGTGCTGGACTTCAGAGCATCTCGGAAAAGGAGGACAGAGGAGATGGAGGAAGAGAACTGTATCACTCAGTTTTGCATCACTGTGACCAAAATACCCAACAAGAATAACTTAGAGGAGGAAAGTTGTTCATTAATGGCTCACGGTTTCAGAGGATTCAGTCCATGGCCAGCCAACACCATTGAGCACAGAATCATGGCAGAAGGGCATGGTAGAGGAGAGCTGCTYGGCTCATGGCAGCCAAGAAGGAGAGGGACACAGAGAAGGAGAGAGATCCAGGGACCAAGTATAGTCTGAGGTCTATGTACTTCCTCCAGCTCTACCTCCCCTCCCAGCAGCCCTTTCAACCGTCAGTGGATTAATCCAGCAAATAGATTAAGCCACTGATGAGATCAGAGCCCTACTCATGGCCTAAAAGTCCCACTTCTGAACCTGACTGTATCAGGGATCGTGCTTCCAATACACGAGCTTTGGAGGACTTTCCACAGCAGTAACACAGCCATATTCTACAAAACCAATTAATTCACTGAGGAGACTCTGGTAAAATTTTGGGGGCGCCCCTGGGTCTGTATACGTGAGGACCAAGGCCAAACAGGAAGCAGCAGAACATAAAGTACCAGGAATGGAAAGGACCTGGAAGAGGAGCTAAGGCCCATCCAAAGACTCAAAGTCTACAGCACCTGCTGACGGCTGCTGAGCAATGAAGAGCAATAGTCAGGTGGCATCCAACCCCCGTGAAGACTGAGAAGAAACCACTAACGGAGTGCAGAAGAATTTAAAAAGCCACAGYTCAATGGACATTTGAAATAAATTGAAAGTATTTGTACCTTGAGCAACTATTCCTTTAAAAATAGCCAGGAGATGGCAAGATARGCAGGCAAATTCCAGATGTCTGGTACAATGTGGACACATTGAGATTAAGAAGTGAAAAAAAAATGGCATTTGGGAAATTTAAACTGAGTGAAATTCACAGGTCAGCAGAGAGGATTGGTTGTTGGTCTTTTTATTGTTGCGTTGTAAGAGTTCTYGATCTGTCTTGGATCTAGAGTCGTATTATACATACAGTTTACAAATATTTCCATTATGAGYGTTGTCCTTTCTCTTTCTTGACAGTGTCCACTGAAGTCTAAAACTTTGTAAATATTTTTGGCTCCAATTTGCTTATTTGTTTCTTTGCTTGCTGTTGTAAAGAGTGCTCCATAGTTTCCCCAATTTGTCATGACAAGGAATCATTACCTAACCTAACACCATAAACTGCACSTAGGTTTTCTTCTACAAGTTTTTTAGTTTTTCTA